GGCACCCAAAATATCTACAAGATATACTCAGTATCAGCTTAATTTACTATCATTAGTGATCTTTAAATGGGCTTTTGATGCCTGATAATGTTGGCTAGTGATTGCATTTTTTTTATCAAGTCATTTTCTACCTGCTGAGCATCTATTTATTTACTGCCTTTTTTTCTCTTTTAACCTTTCCCCAGCTTTCAGTCCAAGTCAAGAAGCTGCTTCAATTTCACGGAGAAAATGGAAGCAATCAGAAGAGTGCTTTCACGAGCCCACTCCATCCATCCATCCTGGTTGAATAACCTTGTCCTCTACCTTCCCTCTCTCTACGTCTGTACCGCCAGCGGAGGCCAGCCCAGACCATCCACTACCTCCCTTCTCCTTTCGGCCTCTCAAGCTTATGGCTTGAGTTCTTCACACTCCACCCACTTCCTTGACATTAGTTCTCCCCTGGCTGTCTCATCAGCATCCACATATTCTACTCTCTTGAGCTTAATTCTTTATCTTACCATTCTTCCATTTTCCTTTCTTTTTATAGGAAAAGTTCTTAATGGCTGCCTTCCCCTACTGTACCCAATTTCTGTCTGATTGTCTGAATACCCACCGATCAGGCTTTTAACATCTGTAGCCAGAAATCATCAGCAGTTGTCGCACAATCCATGCTGAATGTTCACCAGTTTGTCTTGATGTATCTGTACCATCCGACATTATTCTGTCTCCTGTAGCGTTGCCGGCTTGGATTCAGGTGACCACACTCACCTCTTTGCCACTGGTAGCAGCAGTCTCTCAGTTGCCTTTTACAGAATACTGAAGTTTTCTTCCACTTCAGTATTTTCCTTGTTAGAAACCTTAACATTGTCTTAACTCTTACTTTCTCTCTCACACTAATCCTTCAGAAAATCTTGCTTGTTCTTCTGTAAACATAAGTAGAATGCACCACTTCTGACTATCTTCACACTAGTGTTTCCCATGCTACTGTCCTGTGTTTGCTGGCTTATTGCAATTATATTATTGTGGTTCCCCCAATAATATTCACCCCTCTTTAGCTTATTTGCAATAAAAAACTAGAGTGGTTTTGTTAAATACAGGTCAGAGTCAATCTTGCCATGGCTTGTCATTTTCCTGTAGTCCTATAGACTATAGAAAAATATGCATGGCTGGCTCTCTATAGAAAGGGAGAAGATAACTATGTAAGAAGAAAAAACTGAAGTCTGTATGGGTTAGGAGAGGCATAGATGCTGAGGTTAGCCTTAGACTGGACAAAGGAGCCTTTATAAGTTGTAACAAGGTAGAACAAGAGATTTGGCATAGATGGATAGATGTTTGTGGTAGAGTATGAAACTGTTCTCATCTGATTTTTTCCTGTTTTTTTTTTTTTCTTTTAGAGACAAGATCTTGCTATGCAGTTAAGGTGGGCCTTGAGCTCACTTTGTAGCCCAGGCTGGTCTCAAACTTGCAATGATCCTCCTGTCTCAGCCTCCTAAGTGCTGAGATTACAGGCATGTACCACCACACTCAGCTCTTTTCCTTCAGTTTTAGGGACCATCCATCAAAGCAGAGATGAGAATACTGAGTCTAGTGAAGGAAATGGAATGTGGAGAAAGGGAAGAAATGCATGAAACACAAATTAAGAAATTATGAGTGAAATTATGAATTTAATGAACTACATAATAGATCTTGCTGGATGTCTAATATTTGCAATGCGAATGACTTGAAGAGTACAATAACAGGATAATAGAAGCAAAGTATTCATCATGGAGCCATTACTTTGGCTTAATTTCTATTTTCTTTGTATCTCAGTTAAGCCAGCTTTAGGTAGCTACATTTATTTGAGGTTCTGTGATCCTATTTATTTTTCAGATCACAAAAAGTGGATTAAGTTGGCAAAATATGCTTACCCATATTTACTGTCCCCATTCCAATTCCTGTATCCAAAGGTAAATAACATTCTTCCATGGTTCTTTATTTTTATGTGTACAGATTGAGCATGATGTTGAGGCTCAGACTCCTGGAGAAAACGGCAGGTAAACACAGAGCAGAGAAAATCAACTTACCATTATAGGTTTTCAACATTTTGTCTAATTATTTCATCAGTCTTCTTATATTTTTTGTAGAAAAATAAAAGCCATCCGAAGCCTAAGCCTCCATCGTAACAGTGTATAATGTACAAAATAAATTATGTCATTTTTGTGTGCTGTTTTGTCACAAATTTTAATTTATGCTCATTTCAAATAATTCATAGACTTGGCACATAGTCAGATTTTGGGAGCAAGCTTAATTTAAATTCAACAAGTTAACAATAGTGAAACATTTATGTTTTAAAATGGAAAAAATATACAATTCTACTTTGAAGATCCCTTATTCTAAGTGAAGTGTTAATTTTGATCCACTAGCTCACAGGCAATATCAATATGTTCATTACTTTTATTATTTTTATGATGACATGGTGGAAAAGCCCAAGTAAGAAAGGAGATGTCCTTGAAACTTAATTAGTAAAAGCTCAGAGAAGTGGGACAACATACAGATAGGTTAAGACGGTGACTTTGAACCATGTCAGTTGTTGAACATTTTCTGGGTCACCTATAATGAATTAGCCACATTTTAGGGTTGAATAGTAGGTTTGGAAACTAAATTTGTAGAATTTTATCCTGCTGCTTGGTGTAGGTTTCTTCCTGTGGGGGTGAAGATGGAAATCCACAAAATAAAAAACAAGCAGAAAATGCCCTTTGTCAATGCTAAAAATAGTAAAAGAAAGTAAGTAGAAGATTAGATATTGTGAAGAAAGTAAACAGTAGATGTTAAACATTGGAATGTAAACCAAATGTATGGAAGAATTTTCACAAAACATGAAGAGAAAATATATGCTAATAATATAGGCAAAAAATAAGAATAGACAATGAATAAGGCTGAATTATCAATGGTTAATTCTGAAATATGAATATAATCTCTAGTGTTATGATTAAAATAAAAAATGTCTCTTCCAAGGCTCATTGTGTTGAAAACTTGACTGCCAGCTAATGGTCTTTTGGGATATGACTGAACAGGGAGGACTTTAACATCATCAAATAGATTATTCCTGGTTGAGTTCATTAGCTGAATCGGTTTTCAAGAGGCAATGCGTAGTGGAGGAGGCAAGTCACTGTGGATGTGTCTTGAAGGTTTCATTCTCTCTGCCTGCCTTCTGCCTATCTTGATGTGAGCTGCTTTTCTCTACCACATGCTGCCTTCTTTGATGTTCTGCCTCCCTAGGGGCCAGAAACAACGGCATCATAGGACCATGGACTGAAACTTTTGAAACCATGAGTCAAATAAACCTTTGCTCCTTTAAGTAATTAGTCTCAGGTATTTTGTCACAAGGACTGAAAGCTAACACATGTAGATATTGTGAAGTGATTTTCCAGTTTAATGTACTCATTATTCTTTTCTTTTTCACCAGTCAGGAAAACAGGGTTTTCAATCTTCTTTTATTAGTACCAGTCTTTCTTAAGACTTATTTGCCCTAAGTGATGCCAAAATGCTTCAGGTTTATTTAACTCCAAAATCATAGATCCTGCGTAAAAAAACAAACAAACAAACAAACAAAAAAAAACAGATGAGTTTGATCTACATGTCCTTCATTATTAATGAAGGATCGCTGTTGGCTGTTTTATGCCTTCTTAGGAGAAGTGAATACAAACTAAAATGAAGTATTACTGCACATTCATTAGAATGGCCAACACAAAAACAAAAAAAAACAAAGCCCAAAATACATGTTGGTGAGGATGTGGAGAAATTAAAACTCTTCTAGACTATAGATAAAACAGTGTAGCAGCTGTGAACAGTATGGAGCTTTCTCAAAATCTTAAAAATAGAACTGCCATACGATCCAAGCAATCTCTCTCTTGTGCATTGATCTGAAAGAGGTTCAATTAGGATCTTGAAAAGATGTTTTCACACTTTATTCGTTGCAGCGTTGGTTGCAATAGATGAGATGTGGAACAGCTAAATTATTATTGACAGATAAGCAAATAAAAAGACGTGGCATTTCTATGCAGTGAAATATTATTTAGCCCTAAGAGAGAAGAAAATCCTGACATATGCAACCACAAGAATGAAATTTGGTGACATTGTGCTAAGTAAAATAAGATAGTCACAAATGCATAACTAGTGCGTGATTCCACTTATCAAGCATATAACATTGTCAAACTCATGGAAGCATAGAGTAGGAGGGTGCCTTGTCTGGGACTGGTGAGGAAAAGAGAAATGGAGAGTTGCTAATTGGTGGGTATAAAGTTCAGTTATGCAAGATAAATATCTTTGAGAAATCTGTAATACAATATCATGCCTATCATTAACAATACTTATTGTGCCCTTAAAATTTTTTAAGGGTTTAGATCTCATATTAAATGTTCTTACCACAATAAAAATATTAAAAAAGATCTGACTAAATGAGGAGACATAAACATCAACAACACACATGTACTTGCAAACAAATAAACAATGTGCTCCATTCATCAGCACCAGTCCTGCTCAGGATACTGTTTGAAACTCTGAGAAACTGGTCTTGCTCACTCCGATGTATGCACATGCAGTTCTACATTTCTCACAAACTTCTTCATGACCCTTAATTGGGCTGCAAAGGAATAGGTAGACATTATTTGTCCTGTCCAATACTTATTGGTATTCAATCCTCATTGTGAGGTAGTAAGCAGAAGGAAACTTAATCAAATTATGACGCTTAGAGTTGGGGCTATTAAGAAGTTCTTAGGATTAGTAAATGTTATCAAGGTGGAGCCCTCATGATTGAATATACTTGTAGATGTATGAGAAGAGGAAGAGGGACCAGAAGATACATGTGTACACGTGCATTGCTTGTCTCTCATCATGATATCTGTCGTATCAGGGCTCAGCCAGTAAGAGGCCATCACCATTTGCTCCTTGTTCCTGGTCTTCCAGGACCAGAAGCTGAACTCAGTCCTCATAATTTACCTACTATGTGGTATAGTGGTATGAGAAGTGGTAAATGGGCTTATACAATGCATTTCTTCCTAATTCACAGGCTCTATTTTTAAGCTTGAATAAAATATATTTCCTGGGTAAATGGATTTGGAGAAATGTCAGATCTCAATCACAAATGAGGTGAGACCTCTCTTTTCCTATTTAATTAGTTTGTAATGCTTTGCATTGAGCCTGGACCTACAGTTCTGCTTGGCCTTCCCTTCTTGTAGATTTTAACTTGGGAATTCTGCTTTAGTTTATTTTCTCACCATCTGGTTTTAGGCCAACTCTTGTCTACATTAAAGGTTTTATCTTAAATTTGCTCTTAAAACAGAGCTTGTAATTCAGTATAATACTTTTTCCCTTTATGTCTATAACTCCTATAGAGAGAAATTAGACCATGACTGCTGGGAGGCTATGTATGGTAGGAGGTTGGGGAGGTTATATAAGGCAATTTTTTTATTTTAAGGGCCACTGACTTACAAAATCAAATAGAACTTTTTATGTCTTGGACTGAGTTTTGCATAACTAAGGCTCACTTTTTACTCACTAAAAAAAATCTATTTCAAGTGTTCTGTGTCTGACTTATCAGCAATCCATTTATATTACCCACCAAAGAGAAGCTATGAAACGTGTAAATTGAGAATTATTTTAGAAAATAATAAGGATACGAGGGTATAAATATCCTGCTATAGAACCAATGAGAGTGCAAAATGATATAAGTATTAGTCTAGCCATTTATACTAAACAGTGTGACATTAGTTTTTTCTGGATAACAAACCACCATAAAAATCACCGTAAAATAGTAAGCATTTATTATTCCGTTCAAGTCAATAAATCATCTAAGAAGCTTGAGGCTTGGCCATTTGGCTGGCTGTAGTTCATAGATGATTCCACTGGTCTCAGCTGGGCTTTCTCACATGTCTGGGACCAGGCAACTATAAACTCGCTGTGGTGGCTTCTGCTGAGATAAATGGATTTATCTCTATGTATGTGGTGGCCTGGTCAAATGGCAGATTCCAGGAAAGTGGGAGGAAATATGCAAGACCTCTGGGACCTAAGCTTGGAATTGGCAAAATATTTTCTGTCAAATTATGTTGGCTAGGCAATTTCAGAGTCCAATTCAAATTCAAGAGGTGAAGAAACAGATTTCACCTTCCAATAGGAGGATCTGCAGCCATATTACAAACATACGTGCAATAAGAGGCTGACTCCTACTTGATATTTGTCAGTAGATTTGAAAGCTAATTTTTCCCTAGTCTTCTTCTATACCCCTACCCACGATCCAGAAAAGCTGATCAGAAAGACTGAGTGCTTTGGAGGAGGGAAAGTACAAATCACACACTCTTCTATCCATGCAGGTGACTCTTCCCAGCTGTGCATCCCAGCCTCCATTAGAAACCCCTGCCAGTCTCCTTTTCTTGATCTCTGAAGGCTAATTTAGATCTGCATGAGAAGAACAGGTGACTCTTTCCAATAAATCTTATTATTCAAGAAGTAAATAATATTGTAACCGTGTGTGTGTGTGTGTGTGTGTGTGTGTGTGTGTGTGTGTGTGTAGTACTATCAGTACTGACAATACAAATTTGCTGGTCCATGTAGGATAGAGTCGCGGAAAATATGGAGACAGGATAAATGTGAGGAAGTGCAGCCATCTGTGTGGTCAACATTCTCCAGGTCACAACAACCTGCAGATATGAGTAGTTTGTACCAAGGGAGGCATTTTTCTTACATGTGTATGCATTTCCCTTCTTTTGTGGTGGTTCCACTATTGGCTGTTATAGTGACTACATTTATTAGTTAGGGGTCACTGTAGTAGGTTGGTAGGTGCTAAACTCCCCCACAGCACTGTTGCATGGATTATTTTCCTTATGCACACTAACCTGATGGAACACTCCTCAGCTGGGGCATGCAGTTGTTATTTAAAACAATAAATAACACAATTGAAGACAAAATAATGATCAATTGTAAACCTTGAATATGGTTATAGGTAACAATTTCTTATTTACTTGAATATGGTTATAGGTAACAATTTCTTAGATGCCATTGTTCAAAACAAGTTACATATTTATACTCAATATCAGCAGGGCAAGCATAAATATTTCTTTAAAAAGTCGTAATCAATAAGAGTAATGGGATGCATAAACGTCTTCACACAATGGAAGAAGTTATTTGTAATCTATAAAAGTCTACCTATGAACTTTTATAAAAATGGTCAAAGCTTTAACATTTCCTTAGGGTTTGACCTAATAATCCTCTAAAAATTTAAAGTATGAAAAGCATGAAAATTTAAAGTGTGAAAAGTATAAAAAGATATTAAAAAGATAGAGCTATGAGAAGTATCAAATCCCTTATGCAAAGATACTCCTATCAATAGGGAATTTGTTTTGAGTATAATACTTTATTATGACACACATCATTCATCCATTAACATGAAATCAGAACACCTAATAATATAGAAAAATGTTACCAAATTTTAAGTGTTCATATAAAAATTATATAAAATGATACCATTTTGTAGAAAAAATCTTTATACAATGATATTAAGCAAATCAGGATGATTAATGTATCAATCACTTTAAGCATTAATCTTTTTTATAGGGAAGCATTCAAAATTCTTCTAGCTAGTTCAAACTATAAAGCTCATTATTGTTGACTATTCTTGCCCTTCTAGTATGTGGAATGCCAGAATTTGTTTATCCTATCTAATTGCATCTTGGTACATTGATCCCCCTTCTCATTCACCCCTTAACTTTCGGTAATTATTATTCTACTCTCCACTTCTTGATGTCATTGTTTTTTCTATTTTAGATTCTCTAGTGGCTCTAAGTTTAAAATCAGTGGTCTTTTTTTTAGGTGAGAGGAATATAAAATGCATAATTTTAATTGATCTATCAGTGATGATCTTATAAAAAGTTGCTGATCGGAGAAACTTAGTTAAGACAATTCTTCACGTTTGCTTTATCTTTTGATTGTTTTGTGACATAGAGATCCAATTATTCTATGAAGTGATGAGGAGATTTTAATTAGTATTTGCCGTGTTTCCCTTTAAACTCACAGTGGTTTCTTCAAAGTAAACCTTACCTAAGAATCTAGATTATTGCATGGAGCTGCTTTGGCTGAAGTAGTGGTATAAGGAAGAGGCTGAGACTGCTGTCCAGCTGGTACCCTTGATCCTCTTCTATCTGTTGGCCCTTGATGCAACTGTGAAGGACTCTAAGAGAATCTTGTTGAACTATTGGTTTGAGATATAAGGTAACATAATATTGCACTCAGAAGTAAATCCATGTATCATCTTGCTACCAACATTAAAAATAGCTCCACTAATACACCACAAGCTTAAAAGCTGTGATCAGTTTTTAGGAGTTTACAATTTTTATCAAGAAAATGTTTGAATTTCAACACATCCATTAAAATGATTGCGTTATCACATTTTCATAGGGAACATCTGTTGTAGTCAACATGGTATTACCTATAATTAAGGCCACAGAGGATTTATTCATCCATTTGCACACAGGGCTCAGCATGCTGCACATACTGGCTCTTATTTTAGTAGGAGAGAAGGTAATATGCAGGCTGGTAATATAGAATCAAAGGTTATGGAGTCCAAGTAATGAGTAATACAGGACATAAATTTCGACGTATAGAAAGAGGCAAATTATCTAGAGTTTTAAGTCCTGGTAGAACAAAGAAAGCTTTGAGACTTGCATGATGGGGTGAATATTTAGAACTAAGCTGTCTGCAGGAAAAGACAGCAAAAAATGTAATTGAATTCCCCCAAGGTTTTGATCTTAATGTAACCCAATTCTGTTTCAATTATCTTATGTTCAAGCCAACCAGCTAGTAGGTGTGCAGGGCCTTAATGCAATTTGCAGGCTCTAGTCTAAAATGAAAATGGAAGACCCCTTGTTAAAAAATCAGCAGAGTCCTGCTAAGGGCGCTAAAATATAAAGATTTTTATTTCATTTCACATTTTCCTCTGACCTATAAAAATTTTTTATTTAATGTTATTTGAGGTTTAAAAATATTAAAGTTTTAAATCATTTCAGTGAATTTTACTATAAACATTTGTCATATAATACCAGTATTAATGCAAATTTAAAGTCATTTAATTCTTTCTTAGAATCACCAAAATTATGCATTTCATAATTTGCAGCCCACACATGCTTGTATATTTTGGTACTACTAGAACAGTAGAAATGCTACCTAAAACTGATTCAACTGATTTCATAGCGCTTTTTGATATGCACATATTCTACCACCATTTTCTGCTTTTGGCTCATGGAAGAAGAGAAAGGAAGGATTGGAAGAACTACGTGTGGTTGCCTTGTCTTCCCAGTTCCTTCTTTGTCATCACTTTCAGCACAAAAATTTTGATGAACACAAGGAAGTAACAGAATAGGAAAGGACACGACAGTATTTATGTACCATTTCTCTTTCCTAGAACACTACTGCTTTCTTATTGTATTTAAAACAAGTTTCAGTTCAAATGGAGAGTGTGGGCTTTCTGGGCAATAAGAGTTAGAAAAGAGACAAAATGTTATCTACTGACTTAGAGAAAGCCAAAAAAAAAAAAAAAAAAAAAAAATGTGGGCAACCTCTACCGCTGGAAGGAGCAAAAAGCTGATGCATCTCCTTGAGCCTCCGGAGGGAACCAGTCATACTGACGCCTGGATTTTAGCTCACTGAAACTGGCTTTAGACACCTTACCTCTAGAATGAAAAGATGGTACATTCTTGTGACTGTAAGCCACTGTTTGTGGTAACATTTTATAGCAGCAGTGGGAAAGTGGTACACATCTCTTCTGAATATTTTTTGAAGTGTAAATATTTCCTCAAAACATAGGTTATTCTACCTAATAAAATAAGTACTATCTGAGAGTCTGCTTTTATCAATGAGATCTAATGGAATTACATGCATTTAGGATAAATGTTATTGAAACATTTTAAAATAGCCAAATACAATTCATAAACTTAATGAATTTATTTATGAAAGTACAGATTTATTTTAATCTGTTGCCTAATTTTAACATATTTGATTACATACAATGACTAAAAAGATATGTATGACAAAAAACACACATGACTTCATGCATTTTATAGTCTATTAGAGAAATAAAGCAAGTACAAAAATAATTACATCTCAGATTATACGTGCAGGGAAAGTGACTGAAAGTGATATGGGAACTCATGCAAAGAAAGAAATTAATATGTTGTAGATGACAGAATGGGAGGCCAACAGAATGGTTTCTATGATACAGTCAAGCTTTTGTTGAACCTTTAGGGGCAGTTGGAAGGAAGTATTACTTAAATTTGAATTTAAAGTAAATTGTGGAGGTAGTTGAAACTCTACAGGGAGCAAGCATAGAAATTAAACATGAAAGAGTACCAAAGATAGAACATCATAGAGTTATGGGAAGCACAGGAAATGGGATCAGAGAACAGGATCAATGCATTTTCAAAGAGGCAAGATGAGATTGGAAGGCAGAGAAGACTATGTCAATCAAGGTGAGCGAAATTTTAGCTTAAATAAGTTTTAGATGCAACAAGGGAGAAATTTAAATATGAAGTTTCAGTTTTCTTTTTTAAGGCTGGGGAAAGATTTCAGTTGTTCAACATGAATAATTGCCACTCAATATTTTCATAAAGGATTCCCTTAAGAAAAAAGAATGCTCTTAAAAATGTTAAGAATAGAATGCTTTATATATTGTTTGTTAATATCAATGATGTAATTACTTTTAAATGTAGTAAAATTCAAACCATCCCACAAATCGCACCTTTTGTATCATCTCAGTTCAAAAACTAAACTGTCCTATAATCTTGCATTTTATTATACTAGCACTTTCCATTTCTTACTTCTTTTTTTAAATTTTATTTTGAAAGTAGTAAAAATATAACAGAACAAGACAGAACAAAGCCTGTTGAGACAATGCAGTGAAATTGGTACAGAACTTCAGTAGGATACTGGGATGGTAGTAATATGTAGTATACTATATCTTGTTATCTTCACAATAGTTGTCCAGTCAATTAGGTATAGCAAAATCAAACCAAAAACAGAATATTATATAACCAATTGAGAATATTGAATAAAACAAAAGAAACATAACAAAATAGTGAAAACAATTTTTGCCTTCAAACAGAAGATAGAAGGAAATCCCCCATATTTGCTATATTGCATATGGTCATTTTCTCAAGAGATGCTGAGACATCTATCCCCAGTAGCTATGGGTTGGGGGAGGATGTTTGATTTTCAGACTAAGCACCAAGTCCCTGGTTCTCCTCTCCTTGGTAAGCCAGGGGCACTTACCAAGAGGGCGGAAGAATAAACTGCCTAAGTCCCACCATGGTGGGATCTCAGAGTGCTGGTTCTCCTCCTGGCCCATGCTGCGGGTGCTTACCAACAGGGAGGAAGAATAAGCTTCATTTCTCATTTCTTTTTTTTTTATTTAAGGAGAAAAAGAAAAAAATAGAAAAAGGGCACAAGTTATACAGAATTTCAGAAAAAATAAATAGTAGGAAATCACTAGTTGATAGATTACATATTGTCATCTTAGAAGTAGTTGTTCACATTACAAAATTAAAGCATATAAAGTAGACATTCAAACAGACTGTGTTTACAGTTCTGTTCAATGATCCAACAAAACTCAGTAATATGGTTATCTATCTTATACACTTAAATATACATGCAGTTATATCCTATAGATCACTTTCTTTTCCTCTCTCTTGTACAATGACAATTACACATTTTGAGTTTTATTACTCCCACAGTTATTATTTTTTTTGAAGAGAGTAAAACCAAATGTGACATAACAAAGCAAAGTCAGTCAAATCAAAAGGATGGACATAATATATAATGTAAAAACAGAATACAAGGTGATCAACAATGGTTACCATAATGCCTCTTGTTATCTTAAAAAGAATTACCTATATCATCAGTTATAATAAAATTGAACAAAACAGTAAAGAAAAAAACCAATAAAACCGAAACATTGGAGACATTTCAGGACTTCAAAAGAAGATAATAGTCAAACCAAAATGGGCGTCATAGTGAATCTTACTGTCTTCACAGTTGTTGCCTATACTTTCAAACTTGGTACTATCAAGCAAAACAGAATAGAGGAAAATCAGTCAAAGCAAGATGGTGAGAGCAATACAGGATTTCAAATCAAGTTAATAGGAAATCAAAGTGGGTTACTATAATATATCCTGTTATTTTTTATTTTACCCTTAATTAAAAAGATAAAAATAAAAAAGTAAATAATAAAAAAAGGGGATTGAGATAAAAGAGGACATAACAATAAAACAGCGCAGGTCAAAACATAACAATTTAAGCAAAATAGTGTTTCACCACAAGATATCCCAACATAAAAGTAATTACCATAGTGTCTCTTTCCTTGAAATCTTTGAGTATAATTTCGTGTACTGTCGCATCAAACATATCAAGACAATGTAAAACCATTCAAGAGAATGACAGGATTATAGGGTATTTAGAATCAACTAATAGAAAATGAACAATGGCTTCTGTATAATCTCCTTGTCTATAAATTTTTTGTTTATATTATCACATGTAATAAAATCCAATAAGATACAACCTGTTAAGACCAATGGAGACAAAAGAGCAAAAGCTTGATGGGACTTCAAAACAAGATGATACTAAATCAGCACTTATTATGATATCTTGTTTTCTCCAAAATAGCTGTTCCCACCATCCAACCTTCTCTGCCTCATTTCTGTTGAGCTCTTTTTCTGTCATTAGTTGTCAGTTTGTCTTCTTCATTTCCCTTTGTGCTCCATTCATTGTGGCCTCTCTGCCACAGTTTCTGGAATCTTGGTATTTTCCTTTTGTAGACTATCCTGCAGTATTCTCTGTAGAGTTGAATTGGTGGTTGCAAATTCCCCTAGTTCCTCTTTATCCTGAAAGCACCTTGTTTTTCCATCAATTTCTAGGGACAGTTGTGCAGGATATATCAATCTTGGCTAGACGTTATCTTTCAAAGCTTGAATTATTTCCCCCCACGCTCTTCATGATTTGATGGTTTGTGCTGTAATTCTGATGGGTGTTCCCTTATAAGTGATCTGTTTCTTGTCTCTGCTGGTTTTTAATATTCTGTTCTTATATTGGATTTCTGGAATTTTGATTATTATATGCCTGGGTGTAGCTCTGTTTGGGTTGTAGGTGCCTGGGGTCCTGTATGCCTCATACATCTGAGTATCTTTACCTTTTGTTAAATTAGGGAAATTCTCCTGGATTATTTCTGTGAATAGCTTTTGTAGTTCATTTGTTTGTGTCCCTACTTCTTCTTTTATGTCCTTAATTCTTAAGTTGTAGATCTTCTTATCATCTTCTAGCCTTTGTATCATTGCTGTTTGTTTTCTTGTTATTTTAAATAAGTTTTTCATTTCATGCTCCCACACTGCAAATCTGCCCTCCAGTTCACATACTCTATCCTTAGTTTCTTTCAAGCTGTTATGCCAACCTTTGATAGAGTTTTTAGTTTCCTGGTAGTCTCTCTGAACCTGCTTCACATATTCTGTTTTCTCTATTTTCTCCGTCAAATAATTCTCCCCTTTTTTTCTGTTCTTCCATTCCACCATCTGTTTTTTCTTGTGCGGTGCTTAGCATTTCTCTAACTATTCTGTTTATATCTTGCCTTACTTCATTAAATACTTCACTTTTGAACCTGTCTTTGAAGCTCCAGAGATATCGCTTTATGTCTATTGGTGCCGTGCCTGATATTGCATGTTTTCTGCCCTCATTCTCATTTGCATTTACCTTTCCTGGATCAGTGTTCTCCTGATTGGGGACTGAGGACCGTTTCTTGTTGCTCCCTTTTCCTATACTTTTTGTTCCTTCCATACAAGCACATATAGGAGGTCCAGTTTTGTTTTTGTCTGTTACAGTTTGTTTGAATTGCGCTGGCTAGGTGTTCCTGCCCACTACAGTGTACTAGGGAGACACAGACATGGGCAGCCTCTGCTGGGCCTGCCCCTCCAGTTCAGTCAACCTACTGAAGACTTCACTGCTAGGGTGTGCCACCAAGGTGCTGGGACATGGTTTGGGCTAGCCCTACTGGGTCTTCGTCCGAGGGTCACCCAGCCCGTGCGCTCCCCACCAATCCTACTTGAGAGGGGAATATGCGACTATAGTCACTGCAGCGTCCTGTTCTGGCTAGTCCGTATGGTCCCAGAATGTACTCTATTGGAGCCTCCTAGTCTATGGAAGGGTCCCCGTTCCTCTCACTCACTGCAGGTCGATGCAGGGCTCTCGCCAGTCCTGCTCTCAAGTCCATTCGCTGATTCCTGCTCTCAGAGCTTTTGTGTGTCTCTCTCCTTGCTGTGCCGATTCAGACGCAGCAGCGGTGGCAGGAAATTCAAATCGCGGCTTCCAGTGGTGCGGGTTCCAGCTTCAGCGCTGAGATTTTATCTGTTCTGGTTGTAGCACTGGGATTGCATTTCCAGTTGGTTTCTCTCAGCTTAGTTCGTTCCTGGGTCAGCAGAGTATATCTCCCCTGGCTTAGGACTCCCCACACCGCACCATTCCTGGATTCTAAGCTGGCTATCTCAGAGAGCCTGCGTAGCTGCTGTTATCTAGCCACCATGTTCTCTTGGAAGTCCCATTTTTTATTTCTTAAATGGCATCTAATATTCCTTAGAATTTCTGTTGACAGTATTCTGCTTTGTCAGCAGAAACATATGTGCAGCAAGAAAAAATTTTCTTTTTAGGTTATGCAGTAACAGCACATATGCTATACATTTTAAATTGATTAGTTTTAATGTTACCAGCACTTGCTGTTGTATTAAGTTGACTCACATGATTTGTATTAGTTTAAATATAGCTCTAGGATCTAATAAAGGATCCAATGAAAGAAATCCAAATTAAATTACTGAATTTGTTTACGTATCTACAGCAGAGACAACTACAAATGAAACAAAAATTAACAGCCTTTCTCTGTTGATAGTTCACATCCCTGCCAGTCCCTCGTAAAACTTCATTTTGACATCTTAGTGATCACTATCTTCTAAGGTTGGCTTTTATCACATTTTATGCAATTGCCTATTTACAGACCACTTTCAAATATTATCCTCTGTTAAAGTAAAATGTCAGTCTTGCTATCTTTTTTTATGCATGCAGTGAGATTGAAGCTTGGTAAGATTAACTTGTTAGAAGTACGATACACAAAAATTATAAATTGTTACATGTTTAGAGTTAAAAGTGCAACATACAAAACCACATTTTGAGAATGCTAAGCACAAATAGTTTCTTAAAAAAATTCTGCTGAGTTAACAGTTCAAATGAATAATAAGTAATGGTCTTCACAGAGCAAGTAATTCCTCAGTTAGATTAATTCCCATTTTGATATTAGTTTTTGCCTGAAATTTTTCTTTTTAAACATATTTAAAGATAATTGAGATAGCATACTTTGCAAAAATTTGAAACAGCTAGTTTGAACAAGATAGGCGATGTTCAAAATATTCTACTTAATGTTTTCTACTAAAGTCCCCAAATAAACTTGAATCAAATTTTTTTTTCCTGTACTTTGGAAATTTTTGCATACTTCAGACTTGGAGTCCTACGGTTAGACTTTATAGTACTGCACAGTCTTACTTGTGGCTTATGTAGACAACCTCGAAAGAAAGAGAGGGAAAGGGAAGAAAGAAGACTAAAGGTAAGAAAAAAAGAAAAATAGAAAGAAAGACACAAAGCATTTTTGTGCACTGAGAAAGGCCATGCAAGGACACAATAAGAAGAGAACCATTTGTGAGCCAAGAAGAGAGGCCTCAGGAGAAACCAAAATTGCTGGCACTATGATGGGCTTTCAGCTTCCAGAACTGCAATAAAATAAATTTCTGTTGTTTAAGCCACCCAGCCTGTTGTATTTTGTTATGTCAGCCCATCCCGCCATGCTGATTAACGTATTTACTAGTAAATGACGGCACCAGAACATTCTGTAAATTTGAAACTGTTTTTTTCCTGTAATGCATTATGTCTGACTGTGCCATGCTGCATGGCCAGTGGGAGATAGACTTCCCCCCATGCCGTCTGCATGGATGGCCTGTGTTACTAGTTCTGGAGGATGTAGTTGTTGGTGTGGGAATTTCCAGAACTGTTTTTTCCCAGGTGACTGTGGAACATGAGGAAAGGGGTCTCCCTGTGTATATAGTTTTATGTATAAACTTTATTTTGTGAAACCACTTACATTGGGAAGCAGTATGTGTGTGTGTGTGTGTGTGTGTGTGTGTGTGTAACACAGCATAAGATAATTTATTGCTTCTGATATCAACAGGCAATGAATTTGTTAAAAATGAGTAACTCCCAGATAATACTTTCCTGCAATTAAGGAGGACACGCGGAAAGATCAGGCACCGGCTTACAAATACATTACCAGAGAGAATGTTCCAATATTTTGTTTGTGCAAGTTGTTGCTGAATCCACAGATAATTTGATCATTCATATCCATCTCCATAGAACAAGGTAAAAATATTTTATCCATATCAAGGGAAAGATACTTGGGTGATTACAGATACTTGGTGCTGGCAAATGTGACTCTTCACTGTTTATAGAACAGGTCTGGCAAGATTCCTAAACATCATCACCATTTATAAAATCATAAAAACCCTCTATTCAATATGAAACAAAGCCAAAGTTCATTTGCACAGTTTTGCTGCTGTAATTGAAACCACTTAGGGATGTTTATTGTTCTAAGACCAGAAACAATAAAGACAGCATAAACAAGAAACTGACCCAGTGCGATGCTATCGGATAAATCAAAGAAAAACAACTAAGTTTTTACATACACAGTTGAGCTCATTCTCTCCCTGACTGTGATTAACTTGCCAGCATGAAGCTTTGTATTATTATTTTTTTTTTCTGAAATTGGGGATGAGGGAAAGGGCAAGTCCACAGGGGTTATAAAGATAGTTCTGTCTCAGTAGATTTCTCTTTTCTTATATGTTACAATGTAAAGCTGACTAGAAAGAAAATGAGGGTAATATTTGAGTGCAGCTGTTTATTCTGTGCTTCATGAAGAAAACACTAAGCATATTTCCCTATATTAAAAAAGTTTAGTTATAGAAGTAAATGTGCTTTGCATGAAGACAACATATTAAGCAACATAACAACAAAGACCAAAAATTAAAATAAGGTTAACTGGTCCTCAAATATCAAACTATTTCAGAGACACTAGCAAACTGGAAGCGGGCTTGTGAGTTGGGAAGTTAATAGAAGGCAGCTGAGTAGTTTTACTTACCCTAAAAAGACATTGACTACTGTTTCTGCTATGCTTCCCGTGTTTGTGTTCGTAGGTTTTCAGGCTCACCCTTGTTGATGCGTGTGGATGGGATTCAAAGAAGAGAGACAAGATGGCAGAAGGAGATGACAGCATCCAGCAAGGCACCCACATGCTATTTGAATGGAGCCACCAGTTAAATTCAGCAGCCAGACATTAGATACCAGGTGTGAGGAGATCTGGAACTGGGTTCAGGAGAGTGGAGGCCAAATTTGTACCAGCTGTAATTTCCAACAATATGGCGGTCAGCTGCCTGAAGCCAAGAAAGCAGCTCCCCAGAATTTCACAGCAGTGAGGCCTGGGGACAGTAAATTATGCCATCTTGACATACAATTTATTTGTTTTGTCTCTGTGTGATTATAGTAAAGTATGGTTAAAGAAATTACTGAAAGTCTCTAATGTATTGATCATTTATTTAAAAGAGAAAGTTTTATTATGGAACAGGGTAAAACAGTGATTTCCTTATTATTATTTAATAATTTTTCCCCTGGTAACCAGTAGAAGGTGCGTACATGGCTCATAGTTTCAAATTTGTTATATAAGTCAAAGTGAAGTAGGATAGAGAAAATAAAAATAGGTAGAAAGGAGACAAGGAAAACTGTAATTTTAAAATTGTATTTTAAGAAAATTAAAGCTTTAGGTTCAAGGTCATTCAAGGATACAAGGCACTTTTATTTCTCTAAGCTTTTATTTTCTTCTAATTGACTCACTGTCTTAAAAAAATGCAATAAATCTGTAAATTGGGCATGTGTATTTCTATTGGTACTATAGATCCACAAATTCCACAGACTTCCAACTTTAAGAAATGGTACTACTAATTGGGTACTGTATATCTATACTTGAAGTATACTACCTCGTTTGCCTTTTGAACTAGTCTAGTAATAGGTGCTCAGACCCTAGGAGCATATATCCTAATCATCTGTCTTGGAGTCACTCCCAAGACCACAAAGGTATGGCCAGCCCCAGACCATAGCACACTGTCCCTCAGACTTCTCCTCCTTTGTGAGTGTGTACTTTTTTGATTCTGCCTAGTAAATCGGAGGGTGAGTCCTACACTATCCTTTCTATGGTGAAGTCAAGAACCTACTCCCAGCTACAGTGAGTGAGAGTTCCATTTCTTCTTTGCAGGGGCAACGTTGATCCCATTTGGCAACAAAAGAAGAAACAAACTTGGCTGTAATTGAAGTGTAATTATGTATGCTGTTGCTCCCTCTACAAATATTTTTGATATCAGCTATAAGCAAGATCCTGGGCTGGTCAGTTTGTTAATCAATGGTGTTTTCTAAATATCCCAAATATCCAACACCCAAAGTTAAGAGGAGAAAGATTTATTTTGGCTCATAGTTTATAGAGGTTTTGGTGCATAGTTGCCTGGTTCCAGGCCAGAGAAGCACATGACAGAAGGCCATAATGGAGAACAGTTCAGGGCACACATAAGATAGCTGCAAAAGCAACAAAGGAAGGAGACAAGATTGCAGCCCCTTATACTGTATGCAGGGTACTCACCCTAGGGCAGGTGTAGCACTCACACCCTTAATCCTAGCCAGAACTATGCCAAACCAATCAGTGGACTGATTCACTAATCCCACACCCTTAATTCCAGCATCACAAATGCTACATTCAGGCACATTTGTAAAAGCCCTATGACTATATGAGGCTTTGGGGTTATACCTAGATATAACATAAGCTAAGAAATTTTCACTGTTAAATTTGCAGCTCACAATTTATTATGAATATACATTGGAATTTTCACTAATGATCTAATCATTGAAAGTATATTTACTAAGGTATAATTAAAACTGAACTTCTGTATCTGTGCTTGAGAGTATTATATTTTGTGTCTATATGCCCCCCCAAAGCTTCATGCAGTCATGGAGTATGCTTTTTAGAGATGAGTGAATCTAGAGCTTGTGACTGATTCATGGTCAAATGCTAAGATTAAGGGTCTGAGTGCTATGCCCAACCTCATGGGTAAACTGCATACAATATAAGGCACAGAAAGAGGATTGTCTTTTGCTTCTTTTTGCTGTCATCTGCTGCTGTGAACTGTTGCCATTCTGCCATGCCTTGAAGCCAGCCAGTAATGGACAAAAACCTCTACAAATTGTAAGCTAAGTAAACCCTTTTCTCTAACCTTAGGTGTTGGGTATTTGTCTCAGCAATAAGTGAAAGGTAACTAAAATGGGGAGTATGCCTTATCTCTAGGGCTTTTTACCAGAAATGTATGTTTTTAATTCTTGTTTTATTTTCATTATGATGTTCTTGGGAAGAATACCTATTTAGTCTCTCTCTTATCTTCCCATTCCAACTCTATCATACATTTCACTTGCTTCAGTCTCATAGATACTTCATAAAAATGTGGTGAAAAAATGGTTAATATGTGATTTTTTAAAGATTACATTCATGTTGAAAAATGATTAAGTCAAGAATGAATTGTGCAATTCAATCTAATTAAAATATAAAAACTATTTTGTGATGATAGACTAATAAATGTTGGTTGTTGGAAAACCAAACAAACACAGACTATAAAATCCATATAAATTTACAATATATGGTGTCACATATTATTTATTCTTTATGTGGCAACAAGAAATATAGATATACACAGTAATAGCTGACAATGACCAACACATAATTATCTCTGGGAATTTTGCATTGTGAAAGATAGATCTTAAACTCAAAATATCTCCAAGATTCCATTAAATGACAATGGAAGAATAACAGAATACTTATTTCATAATCTGATATTTCTCACTTGAGTGAAGCAAAGCTCAAACAAAGAGAATAATAATGATGGATGGATAGAAGGGGCAAAAGGATGAATCTTGTGTAACAGCAAAGGGGTCCAAAGGAATAAAGGATAGGATTTAAGAGGAGGGGAAGGGGAAACATAGAACAAGGATATACTATGCTTAGGAACCTAATAACCTTAATGAATGTAAGCATTATATACCATGTCAAGCTAAGATTATAAATATCAATAAGAATGAAAATTGGGCTGGAAGAATTAGAAGAGGAAGAATGAAATGGAGATGGAAGGGGATTTAAAAAAAAGAAATAAACTTTAGTATGTACATGTGCCCACCTCCAAGATGATTGTAAGCTGCAAGTATGGCAAACATACACTAATAAAACTTTAAAAAGTTACAAAAAAGAAGAATGTATACAGAATTATATTGTTGCAGGCTAAAAAAATGATTGAGGTATACTCTCTAATTTTTGGCTTTGCATAAATATGCTCACATCATTATAAAAAGATAATAGTTCATGTTTTAATTCAGTTATTGCTGAGAAACATTGTGGTATAGGTGGTTAAGACGTAAGATCTAAAACCAGAAAGCCTGAGTTTCCATGCTAGTTCTACTACTTACTAGAGGCAAAATTTGGGCAACTTCTATCCACATTTCAGTTTGCTCATCAGTAAAAATGCTGATATAATAGGGTCTACCTCTTAGAGCACTATGAGGATGAAATGTGTTATTAACTAAGTGTTAAAGGGCTTGGAATCCTGGCTACACAGGGTTAGGAAATTATGCTGTTGTTTAATCTTTCCACATTTGGAAATGATGTTGGAGTAGAAGGATTCAGAGAAGAGCTACTGAATTCATGTATGAAGTAGAAATCATCTCATGAAGAAAATACAGGGTACAGGACTAATCTCTAGTTGTTTTACTTTCTATAGTTAAATAATAATAGCTTACATAATACTTTTTGGTTTTCAAGTGGTTTCACTTGTTTTCTCCTTTAATTAGTTTTAATGTATCATTTAAAAATATTAATCATGAAAGGGGGTCCGATCCACCATTAGGAAATACATACTTTTGTTTTGTTTTTAAATATCTGACTCTGCAAAACAGTGGTTCACCTTTTTCAGTGTAACAAGTTTTGGACTATACAGTTCATATTAATAATATGCAGTAAATTATCTCTCAATGCTATGTAAATGTATCTGCAATAAAATTCCTCTAAAATTGTGTCCAGCCCCCCCCCCCCAAATAAATAAATATCTGACTCTGACTTTTTTCTTTTTTGGTATTTTGAGACAGTGTCTTACTATGTAGTTCAGGCTGGCCTTGAACTCACTAAGTAGTCCAAACTGACCTTGAACCACAGTGACCTGCTGCCTTGCCTCCTGATGCAGGGATTACCAATATGGGCTGCCATACCCAGTTCTTCTTGTGACTTTTTATGTTCAGACAGCCAGAAAAATTTCCAGAAAAGAATACAATTCTATGAATATTTTTGATACTTGTGTTTCCAAAGCTAATTCACTGTTTTAGTCATTGAGATTTAGAGACAAGAGATACTAGATATAAATTTTGATTTTCCACTGTCAGTCAGTGTTCTCAAATAATCATATATATTAAAGTATGATCAGAGGCAAAGCTCTAATTATATATTATGATTAATAAAAACAACTCACTCTTTCCAAAAATAAAATTAATGTCCTAGAAATTGGCTTTGGTTATACCATGGCTTTATGCAGGAAAATAGAAACACTCCAACAAAAATAACTGAACCTTTCCCAGTGGAATTAGAGTTTATAAATAAATGTGAACTATTATTTTCAGTAGTATTGATAATGCTTATAGTAAAATCTTCTATACCCAAATACTGTTTCAAAATGGTAGAATGCATTTTAAATGAATTTGCCAGTTGCCTTTATTGACCACAATCATCCTATACTTGGCTTACAGACATGCATGGAAGTCACATGATAGTAAAAAGTGGTTCTATAACATTAGGACACTTTTTTTTTTATCATTCTGGAGTTAACCTTTTAATTTTACCTTTAAAAAAAAGCAGTTTCTTGCTGAATACAGGTGAGGCTTTACTGTAACATCTTGCTTTAAACAAAGTCAAACCAGAATGATTTTTTCCCAAGCACTCTATTGTTCTAATTTCTGCAATACCAACCACTTGCAAAACATATCTTGTCTCATTCTGCTATAATTGAGTACAGTAAAAGATATTTTGGATGGAGAGATTTATTCCCCGGATCTGGCCAGTGATGAGAGTCAGAGGAAAGCAGGAGTGACATTTGGTCTGTATCATAAAGGAAGAAGGAAATCTGGTTTTGCAGTAGGGAAAGGAATAACCAGTGTACAACATAAGAATGTACCGTGGGAAGATGCAGGGTGTTTGGAGTTCGACACTGCCAAACAAGTGATTTCATCAGCTTTAGCGTAAGTTGAGAGTCCATCTGGTGGGCAGAACTCTGTAGCTCTGCTAGGTCAGTGAGTCTCAGCAAAGGGACAGTTCACTGAAAATCACAATTGAATTCAGACGAACATGGCTGTGTGTGTTTCTGATTTAGATAGAGAGATACATGCATATCTATACATATATCTATTTCTACACATCTATGATGGAATTCAGAATATACTACCCTAAACTATTTTGAGCTGAAAGGATTTAAAAACATTACAGAATCAGGAAGTTCAATTTCTAATCTTCACCCACCCTTTTCCTCTGAAGCAGGTCATGAGACTCTCATCTGAGAGGTCTTTTCCCACACTCCCATGACAGAAGGATCCTTATTTCTGAAGACATAGGAAAACAGAAT